GGGGGGGGGGTATGTTTGGGTGTATTCACACGCACGCACTACTTACTTTCAGGGAAGGTTCTTGGGTCTTTTGTGGTTGCTTTTCCATCGGATGTTTTTTTTTTTTACCCCCTCAAGTGGTAACTCTAGTTGAAAGATCAGTCTCGTGTTGTAGAGTTTATTTTGGTCAAGTTGCGTTGAGAAGTAGCTAGATGGTAGTCCCAGTAGTGTATATCGGTGCCTGTGGCGTGGTATTTATTTCGACTCTCCTCCGTCTCTGTCCTCATGTTTGTTGGCAGAGGAGGTGATAGTGGAAGCAGACTTTGGCGTGCTGTTGAAGCTAGAGAGGTGAGCAAAGTAAGGTCTCTGTTGACATCCACCCCATGGCGCTCATATGACCTTATGCAGGTGCACCGTAAAACCTATTAAAACAAAACAAGAAGAAGAGGTGATTTTTGGTTGGCAGGTGGGAGAACTTGTTGTTTTATCCAGCACGTCTGGCGCGTTTGTCTGTCTGTCTGTCTGTCTGTCTGGTGGGAGAATGAATCCATCCCCCCCCCCCCCGGTTGGCCCTGACTCTAGCACTCAGGTTTGGAGCAGCCTGCCTCTCTCTCTTGTTTTGTTTGTGGGGGGTTTTGCTTGTTTTGTTGGAAAAGAGAGTATGTAGAGGAAGTAGATGAGTATCTTGCCTTTCTGACAGTGGCAGTGTGCTCCCCTGCTGTCTGGTGGTTGTAGAAAGTGGCTTGTTGATTGATTTCACTAATGGCAAACTCAATATTTATTCTCGTTGTTGTAGAAGCGGGACAAGTTGCACAGAAGCTGACGTTCTATTCGATTCATTCATCTGGAAATGTTTGGGATAATCCAGTTTGCTGTTGTGTTGTTTTTCCTTGTCCTTTGATAATGATTTGATGGATGCATGTAGTTCACTGCAGCTCTCCAATGTTCTTCTTATTGATTCTCTCCCTTTGTATGAAATAAATGTCACTGAAAGGAAAGTGACTTGCTCTACATTTGTTCTTTTGTTCTGAAACATGGTACGTGGGTGGTTGGCGGGTGCTTTGGTGGTTTGTTCCTTCTTTCCTATTGGACTCAAACATCTACCATCCTCATCTCTCTTCCGTGGGTGGTTGGCGGGTGCTCTGGTGTGGTTTGTTCCTTCTTTTCCAATCAAACATCTATCGTCCTTATCTCCCCTCCTTTTTTTGTGTTTGTTACTCTCTTGTAACACCTCTAGTCTTCGGCACTTATAATAAGAGGTTATTGTGTTGCAAGTGCCGTAAAACTCTTACAAAACAAAACAAGAACTCTACTAAAACTACAACTGAGTAGGGTAAATGAGAAGAAGCACATTGACACTTCATTGACAGTCATTGACACTTCATTGACACTTCATTGACACTTCATTGACAGTCATTGACACTTCATTGACACTTCATTGACACTTCATTGACAGTCATTGACACTTCATTGACACTTCATTGACAGTCATTGACACTTCATTGACACTTCATTGACACTTCATTGACAGTCATTGACACTTCATTGACACTTCATTGACACTTCATTGACACTTCATTGACAGTCACTGACACTTCATTGACAGTCACTGACACTTCATTGACACACTTCTGTTCATTTCATTGGTGGTGGGAAAATGTAAGACACAAACTACAAGGGAAAAGGAAAGAAGCAGGACCTAGTACAATGTAGTGACCAGTGACGCCCTCCAATCACCCACTTATTTTCTTGTAACACCTCTAATTCTTGGCACTTATAATGACCCAGACCATATGTGAGGGTGCTCGTCAAAAGTGGAAACTGAAGTCGAAGAAAAAGGCATTGTTCCTACTGTTCGGAAATTTTTACCAAAATTTTGGGTTTTTTGGCTCAACACTTTTTATGTCCATATAAAGGCACATTTCCATGAATTTTACTGAAAGACTGATTAATTGCACAAAATATATAAATTTTCCGTTACCAAACTTTGGCGGCCATTAAAATTTTCTCGCTAATTTTACCTCTGAAACCAAGCTACCCTCACCTTATTCACTGGCAAATATCTCGACTTCTATTCAAGATAGATGGGTATTTTTTCATAGAATTTAAGGCAAATGAAAGCCTTCAGATGTTACCAATAACTCCACATGCCCAAAGATTGACAAGTGCCTGACTCCACCGTGTCGAGACTCAATAAGTGTGTGCTAAAACTGAAACGAAGCACAGGAGGGTACCACACCATGGTTCTTCTTTACAGTTTACTCTCACTTTGTTGTTTCTGACTGTCTATGGATGGTTGTGGGTGGTTGGCGGGTGCTCTGGTGTGGTTTGTTCCTTCTTTCCTATCAAACATCTATTTAGACCTGCATGTTTGCCGACAATCGTCTGAAATCCGACAATCGCGAACCGGCCGATGCTAGATCAATTCTATCGCTAGGCCCGCCTGTATCAGTCAATGTGCGTATTGCGAGGCCTGGCCGACTGCCAGCGACCCCTTTTTCTCCCCTCGGCTTTGTCGGCACTTTCGGGGAGCCTCAAGTGGAAGGATTGGAAGGTGTGTGAGAGAGGGTGACCAAAGATAGATAACAAGGCTAAAACAGCTCCTGGACATGGATGGCTGGGGTCACTAT